TAGCTACTATACCTGAAATCTATTTGAAGATTACCTATTTAAACTCTCTGGCCCTATGATACTTACTCGTATTCTATCCATATTTTATCAAATTCACCTAACCCTATACTACTTCTTCTAGAAGACACCCGAGCTGATATTAGTCCACAAACTTTATGGTTCAGAGCCTAGACCCTATCACAAGGTGTCCCTTCACTAACTTTCTAACCGATGGGGTGCTGTAGTACCCAACTATGCTATGCTATATCCCAATCTAGCTTGCATATACCCTTATTCGATATTCGTACAAACACTGTTCCTACTGTGACCTTCCACTGGATCAGTTCTCTATGTTTTCGGATGTTTTATGAGACAGATCCTCCCAATTCAGTTAGCTACCAAGCCAGGTTAGTATTGCCATATGATCTTGTGTGATGGACTTACTCGCACCCGCTCAGTTACATCTTTCAGTCACAAATTTCTTTCATCGGATCAGGTGTAAACTAGTATGACTATCGAAATCTGTACTATTTTACCTAACTCAGGATTTCTACTATGCAGGTCCCCTGCTTGTAGATCAGTATGCATATATAATCCTGTGATTAACTACTGCCACACTAATATTTTTCCTATCTAGATTTATTTGTGTAATGTTATACCTCACTGAATGCTCTGTCACACTTCCAATACTCTAATTGGCATTAGTGCAATGTGATTTACAGGGTTACAACTTCAGAAACAAGCAGAGTTTTCCGTAAGTTGGATATAGATGTCTAGATAATTATTCAATTCTGTATATAGTGGGATTTGAACCCTAGACCTCTTGTATGGCAGTCTGGCAACCTAACTACTACACTAAGATCACCAGACCTCTTATTGATAATCTTAAAAGAGATTATAATAGATTAATAAGACTAGACTTTTTTGATAATTATAAGAAATGTTTTGAGATGTTTATTAGGCCTACAAATACATCATCAGAATATAGTGATGCTTTTAAATTAATTAGTATAAAGATTGAAAGAGAACTTGAAAATGAGATATTTAATACTAATGATCTTAGTGTATTAAGGTCGAGAATTCAGGTTAAGTTTGGATATTTTGTGAGTGTACATGTTTCTTAGTATGAAACTGTAATAGGAAAGAATTTTATTTTAATTATTATAAATAAAGTTTTAATTATTTATTATTTTATTATTAATAATCATGAAGTCTCTATATTGAAAAGCATTATTAGTAATTAAAATTACAGAATTAGCAATCAATAAATAAATTTATTTTTTTTATTTCTTTTGTCTTATTAAACATGTCGTATTTTTATTTATTATCAAATAAAATTTTATTAATGATAATAAAGTATTTGGATA